CAGCTTCTGTAGCTGTTGTTGTCAAAGCCTAAAAAAACCTATTCTAGTTATGTCGGAGGTCTGCTAGCAAACAATAGCAATGGAAACGGATCGTTTTACCTTTTAAAAATGTTTCAGTCAACCTTCAGTCATAGCTTTCTGCATAAAGCATGACAAAAGCTACGTTCACACAGCAGGCTTTGATGTTCATTTCAGTTTTTTTCATTCTCAAATCTGATCCTTTGGGAGCTCCTTCATACTCCCAGTAATATGTGACCGCAGTGAAGAATTTAAGGAGTAAAACCGAATCTGAAGGAGAGAAATTTGAAAAAATCTAATAAATTATGACACAAATAAAATGATTAAACTATTTTTTTTTATTCTTTGTCTGAAAAAATAATGAAAATGTTTCCTCCATGCATCAGAAGAACCAGAATTTACCTTTAAACATGAAACAGCAATCCGCACTACATCTGTTTTTTTCACATATTTTTTGTTTTTCTCCACTTTATTTTTATAGATTTTTTACAGGTATACAACAAAAACATGACAATGCTTAATGTCCTTTAGTGAGTCCTTTAGCATTTGTCACAAAAAAAAGAAAAAACAAAAACAAACAAACAAAAAAAAAAGCATTAGATAAACAGTAAATAATATAAAATAATTTGTTCATTTACATTTTGGACATACGGAAAGTAAAAAAAAAAACACTTTATGGAGTTTCAACCTCATCTGTTTGTTTTTTTTACATATTTTTTCGCTCCTCTGCTTGATTTCTCTCTTCCATTCAGTGACGCTTTCTTCTGCAGGTTTAACACTAAAAACCTCTGAGACCACGTCATGTTTTGATTCAGAGAGTTTATCTGACAAGTTTGATCGCTACCTAAACAGGAAACCGATTTCAAAAGGTTGATACTCACAGGCGGCTTTTTAAAGCTACAGAAAAAAAAAGCTGTTAAAAAGTCAGAACCACAGAATCTAGTTTGCTTCTCTAGTTTTCACACTTCATTCTTTCCTCGTATGTTTTTTAAATGTTTATCAAGTAACTGTGTTAAAACTTGAAGAACGAAGAGAACCTCATGAGCCAATAGGCCTGTAGAAGCATCACACCTGGATGTTACCTTTCCTCTTAAGTCATAGAAACGCTGTATAGTGTTAAGTTCAGGATGTTGTTTTACTGCAGGAACCTGGAGTTGGTCCTGTTCGGGTGTCAGTCCTCCCTGTGCGTGGTGGTGGAGTTGGGGGACGAGCTGCCGTCGCCTGCCGACATCCAGCTGGCACACAGCCGTCTGCGAGCCCTTTGTCTGGGAGGTGGGACCCGCACAAATGCACACACACATGCATGAACACACACAGAGACACAACTATTCAATTCAGTTTATTTCTATAGCGCCAATTCACAACACGTCATCCCAAGGTACTTTACAGTTCACCAGATCATCCA